ACTTTACTTTGTTGACAATCTACACAGTCACACTCACATACACGTACACCCGCACATATGTGGCCATGGTAAAACATTTAAGCCTTTCAATTGGCCGTGCTGAGATGCAATTTGTCAGTGGGAATGGAATGCCATCGACCCTTCGGGCCATTGCATCCAACTGTTCGATGACTAATGCAGTTTTTGTGTTACGTGTGAACTCCTGGACAGAAGATGCTTTTCCTTTCAGTTAGATCAAACTTCATCTAACGTGGAGACAAAGCAATGAAATTCCACATCGCACCTTTGAATTAAATTATGGTGTTAATTTTACAGAATTTTTCAAAAGGTCTTCTTAAAGCAGATGGCTTTTAGTTATTTTTAGAAATAAACAATTAAATTAGGTTAAGCGCTTCAAAATTGTATTTATTTGTTAGTACGCTAGATAGTTTTTGTTAAGGACTTCTCACCTGATAATTAAATTCTTCTTCCCTATTTGTCAGTAAGCATAAAGAAGCTTTCTATATTTTCAAGCTTACAATGCATCCATATAGCTAACAGAAAGGTCCCATTAAAAGCCAACATTGATACTGAGTAAATAGGCATTAGTAGCTGTTGTAATCTCTCAAAGGAAATCCCTTTTTTATACAAATCGCAGGATTAACGCGGTTCCATGCTGCAAAACGTATGAGCTATAATGCAAATATCCTCAGCTGGTGTCCTTTTAAGCAAGGATATTTGATCGACTGTGCTCCAGACCGCACATTGTTGTGTGTGACTTGAGAAAGGCAGCAGTGCGGGTGCCACAGACATTTCCGCAATGTATTTTGACTTGAGGCATTTGCGAGATGATGGATAATGGCATTCAATTTGCGGAATTGCTCGACTCGAGTTCGATGCTATTCAATGCGAGTGAGTCCTTGTGCGTCCTTGTCTGACTGTGTCTGGCTTAAATAGTTACGTCAATTAATTTACAACGCATTGTGTCAGTCCGTTGTCGTATGCATTATAAATGATTTGTGAGCCGGTCTGCCGATCTGACTTTTGCCCCTTTGCTTTGCCTTGCGTGTTCATTAGCTGGCAGAAGGGCGAAGGGCGATGGGCGAAGGGGCACGCGTTTATGGGTCAACTGCTGTGACCTCGTTTGTGGGTTAACCCTAAACCGTAAACCCCAACCCGCCTGCATTTCGATTTCGGATTGGAGGGAAAGCATGGGAACAGAACGAAACAGTACGGCGACTGCTCTTCAAACTATTTGCAGTGCTTTGCTAATTTTCATTGCCCCACTTGAGTGAATGGCATGTGCCCACAAAAGCCCTTTTAAATATTCATGGGCCAGAGTTGAAGTCGAGTTAAATGACACAAACCCACTCGCAGGCACAACGCCGCTCTCTTATCAATTATCAATTAACCTAAATTTTAGTCTTTGCGATTTTGGCACGGCCAATGACAGTCGTCGCCCTCGCCGTCGTCCTCGTCTCTCGTCCTCGTCTTTTTCCCTTCGTCGCCATCCGCAGTCAAGATTCCGGATTCAGAATGTCATCTGAAGTCGTCGTATGTGCCAGCTGAAGTCGGCGGCGAATCAGATGCCCAACGAAGATGGAGCGTTTTCCAAACGGAAGCTGACAGCCACCATCACAGGTGACTGGCTGGATAACTTTCTGATTAGTGTGAGAGCACTTTCCAGCTGTTGAGATCCGGCTTCTGCCAAAAGCTGAAGTGAATTGGCCAGGGAATTGATTTCGACTAAGTCCACAGAAATCTTCTGTCGTTAAAGCGCTACTTATGAAGGAAAATATATGTTTTATTCTTGAAAAGCATACTTCTATAGTAAATACTATTATTTCAAAAATAAGTATTGTAGTGCATCAACTGCATTGAAGTTTTTAATTCAATTACATCCATTTGGACATCCATTTAAAAAAAATCAACAAATAAAATGAGACTTACCTAATCAGTCTGTTGTTTTCACATAGAAGATATGTACAAATCAATAAAAATTTCTTTTTAAATTAGGAGTACGTCCCTTTACAGAGTATAACCCTTGATTTGGTTCTTCTACTTAGATTGTAATAAAATTCCACAAATTTCCTTTAACTTGTTTACCAAATGAGGCCAAAAGTTTGCCGGTAATTTGGTCTGGTGTTAGTGGTCGATGAGTAAGGAAAAACAAGCTTCTGGTCCGTGCAATACTATTATGTTGACCGCATTTATATGCGGGAGGAGGAAGAGGTCTTTTTGTAGACCTCTTCGTGGCTCTGACGACCCTTGACAATAATCATTTTCATTACTGTAAAATGTCAACAGTGTCAGCAAGTCCCCTTGAGCATCCTTTGCTGCGCTCTTCACTCCACTCGAGGCAGCAGGACATGTAGCTGAAATTTGATGATGCAGCAGCTCGAGCAGCAGGAGCAGAAAAACAGCAGCTGTGCCGAGGAAAGGGATCTATTCTCCATCGCATCCAAATCTAAAACAAACAACCGAACTGAGCTGCATTCTCAGATGAGTCGAGTTAAAACCCAAGACGAGTTCAACTGAACTCGGCTCTTTCAAGGCGAAACATTGACAACATCCTAGTAGGTGCGCCCCGGGGCGACATTTTGTAGCTACTTTTGCTCCCCGCATATCCTTTCTCTGCCATACCCTTTGGCTATGACCAAAAGAAGAAGAACGGATTGCAAAAAAAAAAGAGTAGCGACGTCTAGATGACGTGCATTTGCTCAAGTGGAAATGAATTGAACTCGGGCAGCAGCAAGAGCCGAAGCAGCAGCAGCAGCAAAATGCAATCTCATTCTCTTGTCAACTTAACCTCGACTGCCAGGATGCCAGGATGATGGCATCGAGTCGTCGTCGATGACGCCCGGCTGTGCCATTTGTTGTCCCTTCCATTCCATTGTCGTCAGAGGAACAGCAGCCATTTGGAGCCGGAGGAGCACAGTGGGTCTTAAATAAATGAGATATAAATGGGAAATTACCTTTAAATTAGCTTAGCGCCAGTTCTTTAGAACTTCTTCTTCTCTCTGTTAACTGTGAGCTGTAACTGCTCTTTGTTCTTCGGAAAATTATCAAAACAAACTCATAATCAAGGCGATTAAGAACAATGAAGCACAAGCGTTTCAAACTTGTAAATAGCTCGACCTATTGAAACCCCAGTAACTTAAAAAGCGTAAGCAGATTGAGTATATCTCCCAACAATACTTTGTGACCACATCTGGCACCATCTTTTCGCAGTGACAAGAATTGAATTGTTTTAAAAGATGGCTCTACGATTTCTCAGCTCAATGGCATTTTATCTGCTTTTGATATATCTGTGTGCGACCACTGTGTGACTATTGTTTGTGCGACTGCTGCTCGATTTTTTCTTTAAACAATGGCCCGAGCATTTTTGATTGTCAAATGTTTGCAGAGATAACATTTACTATAGCGGATTTTCACTGGAGCGTAGGAGATGCCATTCCGATGACAGCACAGCAAAATGGAGCGAGTTCTGTAAGCGTTGCTAAGCTGCCTCTGCTCCCCAGACAATTTATATATATATATATATATGTATATAGTTTATATACCGGAGGGTGATAGCATCAATTTGTAATGATCTTATAAGTGGTTGTATTGTCCCTTTGTCTGGTGGCATTCTTCCTTCCTTCCTTCCTTCCATTCGTCCTGTGTGCGGTTTATAAACAAATGTCTCGGGAAAGTTTCCGCCAGTCAATTAAACGGCAATTAGAGAGACTCCATGGTGTCAGCACTCAAGACCCGGGAGTTAGGGAGCTCAGAAATCGAGGGTGTGTCAAGTTCACACTGCTACGCATTTCAATTAAAAACCAATTTCCCTGCGGAAGTGCTTAATTATTGGATATTAGCCAAGAGCTTCACTCAGTCGAACACTCTTGACATCCGATTCTGCAAGCTGACAAACAATTTCCTGCAAGTGTTGATCGATAGCTGCTTCTGGCATTAATTGAATGCTCTCTGAATTTGGAAATTGGCTAAATTCCGGTACAAAGTAGAGAGGAACGACATTGTTGCATACTTTTCTGCGCAATATCTAGCAGTTACGTGAACGTGTCGGTAATACTGCTCTGAATTTTACGCTAATTGAAATTGCAATCGAATTACCCGGCCAGTGAAACTGCGGTGGACGGCATAAGGCATAAAGGCCAATGAAAATATAATCACATTTATGCAGTTTTTATGCCAGCAATGTAAATATTTTCGTAGTAAACATTTGAATGGTGAATGGCGAGTGCTCATGCCGCGAATTACGAGTATGACTGGGCCGTCAGCGACAGCCGTTGGCCATGGCTGAATAACCACCATCATAACGTCACATACAGAGCGATACAGATGCAGATGCATCAGATACAGATACAGTTACAGTTACAGATACGGATATAGTGGCATACAGAGATACAGATCCAATGGTCCGACTGTCTGCGCCATTCTGCGATGATGGTCCTGGCGCAAAGTCCTTTGGCTGTTGGCTGCCTGGCTGCCTGGCCAGCATTCAATAACATTTCGAGTTCATTGAATTTTCGCAGATTTTTCCTGCTCTCCATTTTATACGGACCATTTTTATGCCCCCGTGGATAGTGCATTAATGAGAGTGCAAATCGTAGCGTGAAATTTATGAAATCAAAGCCCCACTTACACATGCGACAGCAGGATGTGCATAAATGTATTTTTGATATAATTGCATTTCTCGCTCCAATGCCTCCTTGTCCACTGATTGCGTAATTTAATAGCCTTATCCTGGCTGAATAATTGGTTTTAGGTAATATGGACATGTGGACTTCAGCTGTTGCATTATTAATGCGAACCGAGGAGCGGCGTTTCCGCTTTTTGGCGGAAATCCACTTGAAATTCCCGTCACATATGTAGATGTACGTATGTGTATGGCATAGGAGCATACTTCTATGATAAATGATATGGCCGGGCAGATGTGTGCTTGTGCTCTGTGCGTTGATGTCACGTTCTGATCATTAATTATGTGAACTTGTTTTTGCCCTTGTCTCTATTTGCAGTTCACCGAGCAAGCGGATAAAGGTAAACAAGCGAAGAACCCTTGGTATTTACGACCCGGGCGTGTCGAATTTGACAAGTGTAGCGTATCGGCGGCCCAAACAAGCATAATCTCCACCAGGTTTTCTGGGCATGATTAGTCCAAACGGGGACGGCGGAATCCACTGACCAGCTGACCTGATGCCCTGCAGACCAAACCACACGTAAGCCAGCCAGTGGCAAAGTAAAAACTTTTAACGAAAACTGACAACCTCAGTGACCAAAGTGTCATAAATCCATAAATCCATAACAGAGCGTCAACAACATCAGCAAACAGTTTGTTGTACGACCTACGACATGTGACGGCGCTCAGGATTCTCCACACAGAGAAAAGCCCGCAGCAATATCAGGTTGAATTATCTTATCAATTTGGCAATACCATTTTGGCAATTACCACAAAATAATCGTTATCTTATCGGTTTGGTCATTTTGCAAGTGTTAATATGAATAGCACACATTTTGTGCTTATGCTGGAACCTCTGGGGATTAATAAAAATGTATGTAGTGCCAAACTACTATGAAACATTTAAATAAGCAAGGATTTCGAGTACTTGTAATGCAATAAATTTATCGACCGAGATAACATTTATTTTGGGTACATTGCACTCGGATAGAATGTTGCTATGCAAAGCTACTAAGGTTCTTAAAGGGTTTTTACTTTGTGAGCAATACATTACATTTCTACATCCTAGTAGGAACTAAATCATTTGAAAATACTTTCCTACATAAACCTTTTAAGAAATATTATATTTCCTGCTCAATGCAGATGTTTTTTCACGGTGCACACTCTAGAGTCTCGGGGGAGTGTCAGCTTGGCGGCCAATGAACTAAATAACCCTCAATTGGGGGGATCGTGGGGAAGGGAGGTCCGTAGACAGGCGGTACACGACATAGTGGCGTTCCAAAAAGCTCTCATGTCAACCGCAGTCAGCGGACTACTGGCAGACAAACATATTGACGACGATGGATTCGATGGTACCCTGCCACTCGAATCTCGACTCGCGTCTGCCAGATAAAATGAAGTATATCACAGGCTGGAGGTCTTGTGTGTTTGGTTGTTTGAACCGGGGTCATGTGTGTGGAAAAACAAAACACTTTTCAGTTGCACAAAAACAACCACAACAACTTAAACGGGGGCGGAACAATATTGTTTGTGTCGAAGTTTATCGATAAGTTGTCGTCGTCGCTTTAGCTCCCTGAAAATCGCATCAGCAGAATGAAAAAAAAAAAAAAAAAAAAAAACGTCGAAAAAACACGCACATTGAGGCATAAATTATATTTCCAGGCTACGTCGACGCGTGGCCATAAAAAAACATAAAAATATATTAAATTTATACGTAGTGCTTACACATAAGATCGCTATGAATTCATAAATTCTCGCCGAGCAGCCGCCGCCATGCTCATCCTCCTGCTCATCGTCCTGCTCATCCGCATCCTCATCCGCATTCCCAGCCACAACCAAAACCGTGGCCACAACCACAGCATAACAACGGCATTGACAGTTAAATGAATGACTATGGGGGCAATGCCGTAGTCGATGCCGATGCCATGGCCGGAATCGAGGAACGTCCTCCTTGAGCTCCTCCGTTCCTGCAGCGGTGTCTGTGCACTCGGAAAAATCAAACAAATGTTATGCTTTAAATAAATGTAGCAAAGTCCTCGAAGTATTATGATTTGTGTCGAATTTTGTACAATTTCTATTTGTACCCACAACTCTTGCATTTGGTAGCTCTCTTCATTATGCATCATGCTAGCAACAAAGTATAAGGATTAATACATATATGCATAAATTTAAGCATGCTGTATGAATTTAGTTAAAGTTTTAGGAACTAAAATGAATTTAATATTACCCATTTCGTCGCTACAAAGCTGATAACTTTTCGATTTCTTTTATTTTTCTAAAAAAGGATATTTGGTTTTAGCCCGCTGTTTGTGTGAACAGTGGATTTGGGTTCAGCTACTTATTGACTCAAGGAAAAGGTCTAGAATTTTTCCAAAGTGCCGACGTGGATGTGGTCCGCCTGTGGCTCGTGCTCCACCATCTTGTTTTGCCACGTTTTGTTTGCTTGGGTATAATTTATGCAAATCTGTTAAAGTTTTGCCGTCATCGGGAAAGTTGAGGCTGTCAGTGGCGGCGCTGCATAGTTTTATGCTCCTCCGCAATTGTAGGGGGACCAAAGTGTATATTCAATTTGCGTTTGTCTCGTACGAGACTCAGGGAATTGAATTGAACACATCAAATCTGGTATTCTGATTTCGGTTTCTTGTTGTTTTGCCATGTGGTTCTGGGTGCAGAAATGGAAAACTAAAAAGTTGGCTCAACATAAAATGTTGGAGTTTATGATTTGCATTTGATGGAGTTAGTATTTGCATATAAGAAATGTTCAATAGCTTATGACTATTTCCGTTCTCTTAAAGTTTAACCAAGATTGCAAATTTGAAGAAATAAGAATAATAAATTCAAATTTACGCCAGGGGTATCGTGTAGTCTGTTCGAGCAACTTTTAAAGCCTCCTCTTCAGCAGTTTTTGTTGCCGTCATTAATGTAATAAATAAAATGGGATTCCCGGTTCCGCGAACCCATGCATATATAAGTGCGTACAATAGTTTTAACGTTTTATCCTTGTTGTTGTTTTTGAAGTTGACATCGGAGCAATTTTTCTTCTATTGCAAAGAGGGTTTCGGGGTCTTAGGGCAGTTTTAATGTATTTATGCTGCTGGCAGCTGCATGAGCTTGTTGCCGTAGTTTTGCTGAATAGCTTCATATATATGCAAAGTTATGCGGTTTAACAGATAAGTCGGCGAAGTTTTATCCAGCGAAGCTAGGGCGGCCTATGTAATAGTGGTCGGTCAGGATATTGGAGCGGATGGCAATCGAATCCGTATCCGAGACCGAGCAAAACTTGAGCTTGATTTGCATGAAGAACAGATTGTGGTGTCCATGATCCATGGTATTTCCAACTATATATTCTACTGGATGAATGGCCCTGGCTAGTTATTTATGTGCGGCCCATGGTCTTTTCATCCTTTGCCGTACTTTTAATTTCACATGACAAACTGTTCCTTCCTCTGGTGCTCTGTTCTGTTCCTCTGAATGTGGGACAAACTTTGGCCCTGCTCTTTCGTGCAAAGTTGCACCACGTTGCGTATACGCAACAAAGGAAATGCCACAGGCCCGCAGGACTTGCATGAATACTAAGTGAAGGGCTAGGTTGCTTCTCTCCCGACCATCTGGCACTCTAGCTAATTCCAAATTATATTAAAAACTTTCGGCTGTGTGTTCCTTTGCCTTGCTTTCTTTCATTATCTAGCGGCCAACAAAGAAGACCTCTGCTAAAAAGGATGAATATGAAAAGAGGCTAACAAACTACGAGTATATAGCCAGTCCAGCCTGCAGGAATGAACTCTCCCAAAAAAACGCGACCCAGCTTAAGGGGCAAGGCTACTTGCATTGTCCGCTTGTTGCTTCCACAAAACTGGGGGAATCATTTGAATTACCCCTTTTCGAGTGAAAACCATTACTTGGGAGCAAATGCGTTTGTAATGCGACACTTGGTCACGACACTAACCTTTGGCATTAGTTGCTCCTAACTTCATTTTCCCAGTGGCAAGCTGAGGTTGATTTCAGAAAATGCTATATACAGCTTCGTTAAGCTTTTAGTTCCCGAGATCCCAGTACCTTATTTGGTATTATATTTCACCGTATCTAGTATAATTTACTCTACGATAAGTTGAAGTACATTTAAGGGTACTAGATCAATGAATAAATGATTTATTAGGTTTCTAATTAGATTAATGCTAAACAACATCGCAATAACCATAAAGCCCTTCTTTTTCGGTGCGAGTAACCAAAGCGACAAGCAAAAGCCTGGACTACGTGCCTTTCTCCACATTGATTTTCCACCCGTTACCAACCCTCTTGCGATTTTCCACCCGTTCTGACCTGTCCTCCTCCTCCGCCACCCCGCTCTTCTTCCCTGGCCGGCAGCACTTGACTGACCTCTTAAATTCGTTTAATGTTTAGTTAGGTCGAGCTTAGGCCCGTGCTCCGGCTGACAGGTTTCGCTGACCTGGTGGCTCACAAATTAATGGACGGGCTGGAGTGTTCTAAATTTTGCAGAATTTTTTCTTTTTTAATTCCTGGCGCACATTTCCCCTTAATGAGTTTTGGCCCTGCAGTTTTGTATTAAGTGTCCTCGAAATGTAATTATGCGATCTCCGGACGTCCCTCACCATTTTCCTCTGGTGTACAAGTATATGGCAGTCATCTTTATAGACATTTATTTAATAAACTCGCATCCATGCAATGGCCACCCACGCTGGTGCCACGAAAAATGCAATTAAATACTTTCAGCTATTAAAATAAAAAACTTTCGCCCGCCCCAAAAAGTAGGCAACGCCCGGCGAAAGGATGTGGAAAATCGGTGTGCGGGTTAAATTAACCCCCCGGATGCATTCCGCTCTGTTGCAGTGGTCGCCCTGGTGTGACCTAATAAAAAAATTATGCCAAGCGAAAGTGAAGGAAATGGGAGCGGGTTGACCCTGTGAAAATTTAAAAGCCGCCTGCATGGAAAATCGGGAGGGAAAATCGGAGAGGAAAACGAACGTACTATGAAATGGCGGCAGCCATTGGCCGATATGCACACTCAGCACTTATGAGGTATTAAGTTGAAAACTTTGCCCGATCTCATCCCATAACATTGGCCGACTTCTGTGTCTTTGCCGATGCCGAAGCATCAGTAGCAGCCTTTGCCTTTTATGCAGCCCAACTCAAGTTAAATTGAGCAAAATAATGCGGTCAATTTATAACGAGCAGGCTGCCGCACCACCAGGCGATTGTGGGTGTTGCAAAGAGAAAGCAAGAGAACTATGTCCACGGCAAGAAAATAATAATGCATTTTATATATTTAAAAGGAATGTTCAGCCTATCCAAATTGCTTTCAATTTTGTTTAGAGTTTATGCTCAGAAACTTAAAATGTTGATC